CGCCCTTTTCAAAAAAAGAATAAATTAAAAATAAATAAATAAAACAATAAATAATAATAAAATAAATAATAATAAAATAAATAAACAAAAGCGACTAGTCACCACTGACGCAACATTCGAATTCCATTCGAATCGTTCGTAGACAAGCCCCTTCTGTCGTCGACCATCGATCGATAACGTCCGTCTCTAGCTTCGTGAGCACACCAGACCTGTGTTCGAACCCAGACAAATAATGAGAATAGAAAATACAAGATTTGATAATCTGCAGACCATTCGCCCTTTTCCCCAAAAAAAAGAATCTATAGCTTCGTGAGCACACCAGACTGGTGTTCGAACCCAGACAAGTAACGAGAATAGAAAGTACAAGATTTGATAATCTGCAGACCATTCGCCCTTTTCCCAGACCATTCGCCCTTTTCCCAAAAAAAAAGAATACAATAATTAATAATAAAATAGTGTTGTCGTCGATCATCGATCGATAACGTCTGCACTGTACAACCGATTTCCGATTTTGGATGACTGTCGTCGATCATCGATCGATAACGTCTGCACTGCACAACCGATTTCCGATTCGGATGACTGTCATCAATCATCGATCGATAACGTCTGCATTGCACAACCGATTCCCGATTTTGGATGACTCCCCGCTCCCCAACTTGGTTTGTTCGCATCCAACCCAAAACGATGCGAAACGGCAATCGGGAAAACATTAAGTCGTCAACACATTCATGACCCCCCACTGCCCATTTCCCACCCATTCCCAAACAATTTCTCCTCACCCAAAAAGGAAACCGGGTCGCCGCCCGCAACAAACCCAGACGACCAAATGAAACGACCAGTAGACGTACACTACCCAAAGCCCAGCACGACCAATCGCACTACCAGTCCGTCTCCTAGCCGCGACCGCACCCTTCACATTTTTGCCTAAACCCCGAAAAGACCCCGACAAACCTCATTTGACGTCCACGACATTTCCCGAAAAAGAAAAAACGACAAAAGAACCGTCGCTGTAAGCGCAGCCTCTGGCTGCGAACAGGTACTGATAGACCGCGCATGGTGCGGTAGCGCAGCCAAGGGGAGGAAGGGTGATGCGTAAGGAGCGAGGAGGCATTTCATGGGGGAAGGGGGAGAGAAAAAAAAGGGACAGCAATAAGGACGTTTTGGGCCGTGCCAAGGAAAAGGCAGACACCACAGGACATTTGTTGACGATCCCACCAAATGACTTCGCCCACCGCAGAGAGGAGGAGGGAAGGGCTTACAGCCAGGATGGCTGTGTATACACTGATGTCTTTTGTCGTCTAGCTATCGCATTCCATATGGGGAATGTCGTCGACCGCTTAGTACGTCTTAGAGGGGTATACAAGGAGTCGTTGCGTGCAAAATAGGGTTGTGGTCGTCAACAGGAGACCGACCGGTCGTTTCCTCACATAACGTGGCTGCGGTCGGGAGAGGGTGGCGTGGTCATGTGGTGAAGAGCGGGGAGGTGGAGGTCGTTGGAGCTGGTGCATGTACAGCGGACTTTAGGAAAGAGAGAACCGCCACCCATACCCGCCATGCCAGATCACCAATCCACTCTGAGTGCGTCAGCAGTCGAGTAACTTCCTCCTACTGCACTGTTGCCATGAAGCAACAAGATACAGCTTCATCTGCGTTAAGAATTGCACTCCTGCA